AAAAATCTCTTGAACAAAGAACAAACTGTTTTAAAACTTTGGGCTAAATCTCACAAAAATGCTAATTATGTTATTTCTGCTCAAATACCTCATTCCTGTGAGAAAATCCTTGGGGGAAATTTTGTTGAAGTTGAAAAGGTTTTTAAATCTCAAGAAAAGGAATCTGAATTTTATTCCATGAATGAATTAAAAGATAGTTTCAAAAATACATTTATCAGCAACACCTTTATTAATCAGAGTCTCATTGATGAACACTGTGTTACTGATTCTAATGGTGTTACTGAGTGTAATATTGAAATTACCGAAATTGATCCTACTTCTTACCCTACACATCTTGTGAGACCAACTCCTCTTACTGAAAATATTATCGCATTTCCTATCTCAAACGGAGTGTTTCATGCTGTTCATGAACAACTTAAACAATATCCTGATTGTAGTGTTTCAGTACATAAGTCTAAATCTGATACTGATGTCAGCTCCTCATCCATCACTGATTGTAGTTCTTCTGACACTGAATTCTTTAGTAATTCAATGTTAAATAAAAGGACTCAAAGTTCACTTGGTGAATCTTTCAAATATAAATGTGTTAAATCTAGAAATGTGTTTACCAAGAAAAACTTTGGTACAAGAATTTGCTACAAGTGTGGTGACACGACTCACAAAATCAGTGAATGCAAGTTTGATAAAACATCATTAAGAGCTGATAAAATCAAAGTTAGAAATGAAAAATGGACTCTTAAATCAAATTCTTTAAACTGTCTTCCCAAAGAGTGCTATAATATATTGTCAAATAACTTTGTGAATGACCCATCTTCCAATGGGTCAGTGTGTTCTAACTAGTTTGTCAACACTGTAGGGTCAGGAGCATCTTTGGTACTTAGATAGTGGTTGCTCAAGACATATGACAGGATCCAAGTCTCTTCTAGAAGACTATGTTAAGAAAACTGGTCCTGCAGTAACATACGAAGACAATGTAAAGGGGTTTACTAAAGGATATGGAAATATCAAGTGCAATAATGTGGTGTTTCAAAATGTTTCATATGTAAAGGGTCTCAAACACAATCTCATCTCAATCAGCCAATTGTGTGATGCTGATTATGAAGTTCACTTTACAAAGAAGAAAGGAAGAGTTGTTAACACTGACAAGAACATTGTAGTCTCAGCGAGTAGAAAAGATGATATATATATATATATATATATATATATATATATATATATGTTCTTGACATGTTCTCAAGTGACAAGGCGCTGATGCAATGTTTCTTTTCAAAGTCTCAAACCAATCTCAGCTAGATTTAGCACAAAAGGTTCTCTCATTTGAACTTTAAGAATCTATCCAAAATATCCAATCAATATCTAGTTTGAGGTCTCCCAAAACTCAGCTTTGTCAAAGATAAGATGTGCTCAGCGTGTGAACAAGGAAAACAAACCAAGTCGTCATTCAAACACAAGTCATGTTCTAGCATATTTGTTCCTCTTCATTTACTACACATAGACTTGTTTGGACCTATTCCTGTTCGTTCCCAAGGAGGAAATAAGTATACTCTAGTGGTTGTGGATGAGTTTACTCGATTTAGATGGGTGGTTTTCTTGAAGAAGAAAAGTCATGCTGCACAGGAAATTATCTCGCTGATTCGTAAAAATGAGACACTGTCTGGTCTCAAAGTTAAGCAGCTAAGGAGTGATCATGGCACTGAGTTTCAGAATTCAACTCTTGAAGAATTTTGTGATTATAAAGGCATTGGGCAGAACTTTTCAACTCCTCGCACACCTCAACAAAATGGAGTTGCTGAATGTAGAAATTGAACACTGATTGAGGGAGGAAGGACCTTAATGATTCATGTTGGTCTTCCTATGTCGTTTTGGGCTGAAGCTGTTAATACAACATGTTATACTTAGAATCGATCTCCAATTCACATGGTTCACAAGAAGACACCATATGAGATGCTGAAAGGTCGAAAGCTGGACGTATCCTTCTTTCACGTGTTTGGATGCATCTGTTATATTCTTAATCAGCGCGATCCAAGATCAAAATTTGAGCCTAAGGCTGACAAAGGTATTTTTGTTGGATACTCATCTATTTCAAAAGCTTTTCATGTGAACAGGCAGTGCATTGAAGAATCCATTCATGTGAAGTTTGATGAGGAATCATACACTGATGAAAAAGTAGCTCATTCTTCCTCTATTTTTCAAGAGCTTCTCTCTTGCCCATATGATGAAGTTTCTCATACTGAAGAAGAAGCTACTATTCCTAATCCTATCGTTCCAGATCCAAATTCCTTGAATCAAGATACTGCGGTCAGCTCGACAACTCATTTGTCTGATGCTGATGAAACTCTTGAGAATGAAGACTCTCCTGCAACTGATGTTCCCTTCAACAATAACACTTCAACGTCAAATCCAGTGGAATCAGCTTCTGGACATCGAGATCACCCTGTTAAGCAAATTATTGGGAATCTTCATGATGGTGTCCGAACCAGATCTCGTGTATCTAATAACTTTTTCATGTACGTTAATTTCGTTTCAATGATTTTACCTGACAAGATACACTCAGCTGTTCAAGACGCTGACTGGATTAAGGCCATGCAAGATGAGCTGAACGAGTTCAAAAGGCACAGGGTTTGGACGCTTGTTCCCAGACCATCACCGGAACACGCTGGGTCTACCGCAACAAGGTTGATAAAGTTGGTATTATTACTTGCAACAAAGCAAGACTTGTTGCTCAGGGGTTCACTCAAATTGAATCCATCGACTACGGGGAGACTTTTGCTCCAGTTGCCCGCATTGAAGCAATCAGACTGTTTCTCGCATACGCTTCATACATGAACTTCATTGTCTACCAAATGGATGTCAAAACGACATTTCTTCATGGTGAGTTACAAGAAGAAGTATTTCTCAAACAGCCCCCAGGCTTTGAAGACAAAGAGCACTCTGACTATGTGTACCAACTAGATAAAGTCGTATATGGACTGAAGCAAGCTCCCAGGGCCTGGTATGAGACACTGACATCATATCTTCTTGAAAATGGCTACAGAAGAGGAGCAATTGATAATACTCTCTTCGTCAAACAGAAAGGCTCAGAAATGATTCTTGTTCAAATCTATGTCGATGACATCATCTTTGGATCTCCAAATGAGAAGCTGAGCAAAGAATTCATTAAGATCATGTCTCAAAGGTTCGAAATGAGCATGATGGGGAAGATGACTTTCTTCTTAGGTCTTGAGGTTTAGCAACAAAAATCAGGTATTTCAATTTGTCAAAGTAAATACATTACTGACATGCTAGTTAAGTATTCTCTCAACGACTGCAAAGCAGCTTCTACTCCGGTGTCCAAGACTGATAAGCTACACGCTGATCCCACCGGCGCTGATGTTAATCACTCTCTTTATCGAGGAATGATTGGATCTCTTCTCTACCTCACTACAAGTCGCCCTGATATCATGTTTGGAACCATTCTCTATGCTACATTCCAAGCTAATCCCAAGGAGTCTCATCTCATTGCAGTCAAACGCATCTTTCGATACTTAAAGGCCACTCAGAACTTGGCACTGTGGTACCCTCGTGACTCAGCGCTTGAACTCTTTGGATACACTGATTCCGACTATGCGGGTTGCAACTTAGACAAGAAGAGCACGTTAGGTGGATGTTATTTCCTTGGAAATCGACTAATCAGCTGGTCCAGCAAGAAATAAACCTCAGTAGTTATCTCCACTGCAGAAGCTGAGTATGTTGCAGCTGGGAGATGTTGTGCTCAAATTATATGGATTCAAAATCAACTTTTAGACTATGGGCTTAAATTCACAAAGACTCCTATATTCTATGATAACACCAGTGCCATTCAGATCACACAGAATCCGGTTCAACACTCAAAGAAAAAGCATATAGAGATCACACATCACTTCATCAGAGACAATGTTGAGAAGGGCAAGGTTGTTTTAACACATGTCAAGACTTCCGATCAACTAGGTGACCATTTCACTAAGGCCCTGGATACTCAAACTAATGCCCACATCATTGGCGAACTTGGAATGATCACTCTCGATTGAAAAATTGTTTTACTAATGTTTGTTATTGTATTATAAACTAATGTTTTTTTTTTTGTGCTGATGATGATACGTTGATGATGTTTAGCATGCTGAGTACATTGTATGATCTCTTATCTCTATATCTTCTTAAATCTTCTAAACTAAAGTTGAATGATTCACTGTATTAAACCATACACTGATAACAACTTGAAACTCTTTGCCGATGGTTAGACAAAACACCAAGCTCTATCACACGCAACTATCCCCTCTTACAAATCTTCCACTGATTCTGTGATTCGGTGTGACAAAACACATACTGATGAGAATCTAAAAATCTTTGCTGATGGTTAGACAAAACACCAAGTTCTATCACACGCAACTATCCCCTCTTACCAATCTTACACTGATTTTGTGATTCAGCATGACAAAACACATGCTGATGAGAATCTAACAGTCTTTGCCGATGGTTAGACCAAAACACCAAGGTCTATCACATGCAACAATCCTCTCTTCACCTTCTTCTCACTCAGTGTCTAATGATTCAGTAAGAAATACCACTCACTGATAAAGACTCGACACTCTGTGCCGATGGTTAGATAATTAAACTAGTATCTATCACACGCACCAATCACCTTGCTAACCCTAAACAAGCAAGTTGTACCTTGAATTGATGACAAACTATCTTTCAGCATGTAACTTTCCGTGATAATAATCTCAGCGCTTCCGTAGTCACTGATTGTCGTTTCCTCTTTAGTACAACGGCTCTATTTACCCAACGGCTATTTTTTTTATTTGACAGTCTGTCAAGATACGCAGTTATTTTCGATAAAGATAATCATTACCTTTTTTAAACTGTTTCATTCCCTATTTAAACCTTTTCACCTCTTCCCAAAACCTTTTTACCTTCCTCCAAAATTCTCTCTCTCTCTTTACAAAAAAACAAAAAGGAAAACCCTAGAATCCTAAACTTCTTCAATGGCGGCATCACTGTTCACCTTATCCTCCACTTCAAGAAGAGTCGTCCCAGCTCCAAACTCTCCTCCTCTTCCCATATACATCAAAGCCACAAACGTCGTTTTCAATCCTGATATACCAGATGTTCATCGAGGTCTTGGACTTGATGATTTTGTAAATTTCTTAGTCTCCTGTCGACTTCGATACGCAATCAGTGACGTTCCATCAGATTTCTTTCCCGAACAAGTATGTGAGTTCTACTACACTGCAACGATTAATCATCAGAACAACGTCATCTCCGAGACTATTGGGCGTGGCAGACACTCTGTTTTTATCACCGCTGACCTCCTTAGTGCTCCACTCAGGTTACCAATCCTTGAACCATTCTCTGAGCTTCCAATTATTGAACCCTGTCGATGCCTCTTTGATCAACTGGGCTATGATCACTCAAAGGCTGGTGCTCGATCAGCTCTCATTCTGCGTCAATGTATGACTCCAGGATGGAAGTTCTTCACCGGGGCTCTGTGCAAATGTGTGGGTCACAAATCTCGCAGTGGTGATCAAATGAGCACTTATGACCAACAAGTTGTCTGTTCCCTTCTTCTAAACAAACGACTTGATTATGGGGCTTTCTTTTTTGATCAGCTTGTCCAAATTCTTCGTGCAAATGTACGCGCTGATCATGTTCCCTTTCCACGCTGGATTGCTCTTGTGCTAGATAAAATTTTCACTTAAGCTTACTACTCCCACTTTGGAAACCCCATCCAATGCCCACGCATGTCAGTGTGAATGTATCAGGATGATCCAATGGAAACTGACATCGGCATCTCTAATCGAATGAGAGAATGGATCGTGAATCCATATACTGTTCCTTCACTAACCGCTGATACTGATGAAGGAGCTGCTGGTAACAACGAAGATCATGCTGATCAACAAGCTGAATCACAGGACGGTGGTCATCTTTCCCCTTAACTTTCTCATCATACTCTCTCTGTCACTGAGAGAGTTCACTCAGCTCAAGGGGAGCAACCATCTCAGGGGGAGCAACCATCCCAGGGGGAGCAACCTTCTCCGGGGGAGCAACATCGCTCTCAAGAAGTTCCAGGTACTCAATTCCTTCATATACCGGCCTCAACATTTAATGAGCTTTTGACACTGACTCGGGACATGAGTCAGCGTCTTTTACGAATTGAGGCGGATGTCCATCAGCTGAAGGGAGTTCTCTTGCCAACTCCTTCCCCTGGCCCACAACATGATGATGATCAAAAAGGCGGAGAAACTGATGATGATCAAAACGAGGGAGAAACTGAATCTGTTGAGCTCGGATCTGAGGATAACATTTTAAACCAGACTGAGCCACCACAGCCAGTGCACGAGTCTGATAGACCAGCTGCTGACGAGTCTGATAGACCAGCAGATACTGAAAAGCTTTCTGAAGATAGTGAGCATGATGATGAATATGATGATGAGTGTCAAATGCTGGACATTAACTTCATTGATCCCACTATTTCAGTTCCAGGAGAAGCCTCAAATGATAATGAAGATGAACATGATGATGAATGTCAAATGCTAGATATGAAATTCATTGATCCCATTATGCCAGTTCAAGGAGAAGATTCAGATGTAGCTAGTGAGGATACTCAACCTCTATCTTGCAAGCGCAAGACAGCAGATACTGAATTGGCTTCTTCACACACTGATACTTCTCTGCCTAGCAAGAAACCTAAGTCCATCGTCAGCATATCCAACTTGGCAGCTGAATGGAACATGTCTCCTGATCAAGTTAAGCATATTCTTGATGAAGCCAATCAAGCTCAGCTTCTAAAGAATATTGCTCAAGTTGATGAATCTCTCATTCAGCATAAACTTCAGGCCAAAGGATCCTTTGAAGCTCAAATGCAAAAGTTCTTAGAATATCAGTCCAAATCCAAATCTTCCCAGCCTCCTCCTAGTAGCAGCATGTCAAGGACTGAAAATGTTCTCGACAGGATTGATCGCAAGAGGTTTCAAGATGTTCTTAAACCACGAGTGAGCAGTGATAAGATCATAAAGGTTAAAGCTTCTAAACCTCGTAACAAGAAAATTCTTACTTTGCTGATCACTCGTCAAGGTCCTCAACATCCATACACTGAAGTTGTCAAGAGGGATGAGCTGATCAGATACGAATATTCTGAATGGATGGAGTTGCTCAAATTAGCATCCAAGCAAACTTTGGCTCTCTCTTCAGAACTGACATATGCTCTCCATTTACTGATAAAGAAAGTTCAGCGTCTAGATCTTGTTCCTATGCAGCGTTCTCAGCAGCAAGGTCAAAGTTCCTCAGTTCCAAGAATCAGAAGGACTAGATTTCAAGTTGATAGTGAAGATGTGTTGGTTCTAAATTTTGGTGCTGAAGGAATAAACAACTCTCTTCCTATCGGTGTTGAGCCGGTTCAACATAAGTTCATCTCTGTTCCTGAACATGGAATCTTTTGTCTTGAGAGCTCCAACAGCACATCTTGTTGGCTTATGACAAATGTGCATGAGTCATCAAGTATTTGGAGAGTTTCACATACTGATTGCTATGGAGTTTCTGAATAGAAGACAGGTACTGCTGGATAGTCCTTACTGGCCTGTGAAAATAGAAGTTGAAGCTGAGTATGAAGAATTTTTGTCCAGAGGTGTTCTCGTATAGCTGTTGTTTTGAACATCATCATATTGGCGGAGATTGAAAGGTCGAACCGTATAATATGATGATGTTTGAAACTGATCCCTCAGCATCAGCATGTAATCAGCGTCAGCATCAGCATCAGCGTCAGCATACAAGTTGTTTAGTACATATATTGTCTTAGATGTAACAGATTTAGTATTTATCTTGTTTCCATAGTTATCATATATTAGTTAGCTGAAACATCCCTGATTTGTAGGGATTGTATATAATAGTTCTATATAGTCTTTTGTACGGGTTTGTGAAGAGGTTGTCTTTCACAAACCCTAATAGCCGCTTTGTGCGAACAATAATCTCTTTGTGAGATTATCATTCTTAGTAAAAGCTCTTTGTGATACTTCATTGTTCTCTTCTTATTATTAGTTATTTTTTGATAAATCGATTGATCTAAGGTTCTTTCACAATCACACCAACAAAATGATCAAAAGTGGTCTCTCCTCCCTCACAAACGCTCTAGATCTCTTAGGGTCTCTCTCTGGGGTTTGGTAACCGCAAATGACGGCCCTAAGGGCCTTTAAATAGGTGCCAAACCCGGGAAATTAGGGTTTCATTAAACAGTGTGGACTCGCCGAGTCCGGTCATGAACCCGGATGAGAATCCACGACCCTACTCGGCGAGTCCAAGCACCAACTCGTCGAGTCCCTCTACAAACTCCAAAATAAATGAGTAAAATAATATACCTAGGAATTCGGATGTTACATCTACTAAAACAAAATTCCCAAACATTAAAAGACACATTTACTATCGATATGGCAAATGGGAAGACCGAGAGTACAAACAACACATACATAGGATGCACGCTTACTCTAAACAACTATTCATTTCAAATTAACCTTATGCCGGTATTAATTAAAATCTTTGACATGATAATCTGCATTGATTGGCTAAGTCTTCATTGTGCTGATATCGTATGTTATGAAAAAGCCATCCATCTTAATCTGACAAGTAAGGAATCTCTCGTTATCTATGGCGACAAAACCTGGTGCAAATCTTCAAATAATTTCTTTCATCAATGCCTAGAAGTATCTTCACAAAGATTATCGTGCCTTCTTATCTCACGTAGTTGATAAAACACAAGAAGTGAAAAGTATCAAGGATATCCCTAAAGTGTATGATTTTCCTGATGTATTCGTCAACTATCTCTTAGGAGTTCCTCCTGAACGCCAAGTCGAATTTTAAATCGACTTGATTCTCGAAGCTACCCTGTAGCTAAATCCACGTATTATCTTGCACCATCAGATATGCAAGAACTATCCAGTCAGCTAAACGAACTACTAACAAAGGATTCATTAGACCGAGCTTCTCCCCCTGGGGAGCACCGGTCTTGTTCGTGAAGAAGAAGGATGGTGTAACACTGATTTTTTTTTTCAAACAAAATTTTCGATTGTTATATAAAACATAATTCCACTAATATTCATAAAAACACCCATTTTACTTGTTCATCGAACAGTACAAAATCCCAAGATCAACATGTAAAACTCCAAACGTGTGTGTACGGATCAAGCCGGCGCCTTCCCGCGGTCGTCACTAACACCTGAAACAAATAACATCAACACTGTAAGCACAAAGCTTAGTGAGTTCCCCAAAATACCACATAAAACACATATTAGCCACTCGAGGCTATAACTCTGTGGGTCCGTGCACCCAAACTCTGTGAACCCTCAGGTTCTAGCTCTGATAAACATGCACCACATAAATCACATATAAGTCATGCAGTACAACACATAACATACATAGCATACAAATACTCTATCACATAACCCTGGTTACCTACTCAAGGTAAAGTATAGTGAGGAGACTCACCTCGTGTGTCTCGGTAACTCGTAACCCTGAAATCACTAAACACTCGATCCGCCGAGCTGTAGTCCCCCTATAGCACAATACATCTCTAATTAACACTCTCCCAACTAGGGTTGATCACACTATAACAAATCACTCTTGGTCAACGCTGGTCAACGGTCAACTCTGACCGGACTCGGCGAGTGCACTATGGCGACTCGGCGAGTCCGTGCGCATGCACCAATTTCCCTGGAACCCTCCCTTGACACGTCGAGTATTTCCCCCAACTCGACGAGCTCCACCTGGCACGAGTTGTGGGGCCACCACAACTCAACTCGCCGAGTCTCAAGAACAACTCGACGAGTCCAGTTTGACTCGGTCCACCTGTCCATCCTGACTCTCCCTTGACCCACTGAGTTCACCTTTCCCAACTCGGCGAGGCCACTCGCTGAGTGGTCGCGCAACATTCATGCTACTCGCCGAGTCTGTTCTTCGGACTCGGCGAGTCCGTGCCATGCACTGACTCAATCTTGCTCTAAAGGTCAGATCCAGTCCACTAATCCCTAGATCCAGTCCCTCCATGCTTATTTAGCATGTAAAGTCACAATCTTGATGCATAAATAACCTCCATATGATCACAAATGATGTTTTTGACTCTATTACTTCAACACAAGGCCAAGGACTCCATTTCCACTCATAAAGCTTGATGAGTGAGGCCCTCTAGACCTCTATGGGTCCAGATCCATGGTCTCAACTCAAAGAGGGAACAAAAGGGCACCAAATCACCCCATAAATGATCATATCAAGCCCTAACTTGCATCAAGTTTCACCAAACAGAAAATGGTCCGATAATATTACCTCTAAAGTGATGATCCAAGCTCCAAATCCACGAAATAGCAACCTCCTTTGCTTCCTCTTGCCTAGAGCCTCCTTCTTCTTGCTAAACAACACCCACAAGGTCAAGATTTGCTCTCAATCCTTCACCAAACGCTCAAGAACTCTAGGGACACACTCTGGGGGTTGGATGAGCGCAAATGACGGCCATAAGGCCCTTTAAATAGGCCACAAACCCGGAGATTTAGGGTTTCATTACACAGCGCAGACTCGTCGAGTCCATACCTTGGACTCGCCGAGTCCAAGCGCGCACCATCGATCAGTTCCGCGTCCCTACTCGGCGAGTCTGAGCCCCAACTTGCCGAGTCCCTCACACAATATAACGAAGTTAAAACTTACAAGATACCTGGTAAAAATCCGGATGTTACAGATGGATTGTTCCGAATTTGCATAGATTACCGTGAACTAAACGAGCTTACCGTTAAGAACCGATACCCTCTACCACGGATAGACGACCTCTTCGACCAACTACAAACGGCAAGTTTCTTCTCCAAGATCAACCTAGGATCAGGATACCATCAGCTACGAGTCCAGGAGGCTGATATTCCAAAGACCACTTTTCAAACTCACCACGGTCACTATGAATTCGTAGTGATGTCCATTGGTCTAACGAATGCTCCCACAATATTCATGGACCTGATGAATCGTGTGTGTCAAACTTACTTAGACAAGTTCGTTATAGTTTTCATCGGCGATATACTAGTCTATTCCCGAAGTAAAGAAGAACACAGTCAAGACTTACGATAAGTCTTGGAAATGTTAAGGGAAGAGAAATTGTATTTAAATTTCTCAAAGTGTGAATTTTGGATTCGAAACATGGAGTTCCTAAGTAATGTAGTCAGCAAGGAAGGGATACATGTAGATCCTTCCAAGATCAAAGCTATAGAAAACCAGGCGACCCCCTGAACCCCAACAGAGATTTGTCAGTTTCTAGGTCTCGCTGGCTATTACAGATGGTTCATCCAAAACTTCTCAAAGATCGTGAAGCAAGAAACTTTGAGAACTTCACATTAAAGCGAGCCCTCTACAGCGTACCGATCTTATCCCTTCCAGAAGGGATAAAAGATTTTGTAGTTTACTGTGATGCATCAAAGCAAGGTCTAGGTTGTATTCTTATGCAGGAAGGAAAAGTCATCCTACACCTCAAGACACCTTAAGAACCATGAATTCAATTATACCACATACGACCTAGAACTGGGAGCAGTGGTTTTTGCTCTAATGATCTGGAGGAATTACATGTATGTTACGAAATGCATAGTCTTTACTAATCACAAAGCCTCTAGCACATATTCAATCAGAAGGAACTTAACATGAGATAACGATGATGGGTGGAACTACTCAATGATTACAAATACGAGATTCATTATCATCTTTGCAAAGCCAATGTAGTAGCAGATACCCTTAGTCGAAAAGAGTACTCAGGCCACCGAGTAAAGTATCTAACTACGAATATCCATTCCCACCTGTCCACACAGATCAAGGAGG